TGTGATGTGTTGTGATGTGATGTGTGTGTTGTGATGTGATGTGTTGTGATGTGTGTTGTGATGTGTTGTGCTGTGATGTGTGTGTTATGATGTGGTGATGTGATGTGATCTGATCTGATGTGATGTGTTGTGTTGTGTTTTGATGTGTTGTGTTGTGTTGTGATGTGTCGTGTTGTGTCGTGATGTGTGTGATGTGTCGTGTTGTGTCGTGATGTGTGTGTTGTGATGTGTGTGTTATGATGTGTTGTGATGTGATGTGTTGTGATCTGATGTGATTTGATGTGTTGTGATGTGTGTGATGTGTGTGATGTGATGTGTCGTGATGTGATGTGATGTGATGTTGTTGTGTTGTGATGTGTGTGATGTGTTGTGTTGTGTTGTGTTGTGATGTGTGTTGTGATGTGTGTTGTGATGTGTGTTGTGATGTGTTGTGCTGTGATGTGTTGTGATGTGATGTGTTGTGATGTGATCTGATGTGATGTGTTGTGATGTGTTGTGATGTGTGTTGTGCTGTGATGTGTGTTGTGATGTGATGTGTGTTGTGATGTGATGTGTTGTGATGTGTTGTGATCTGATGTGTTGTGATTTGATGTGATGTGTTGTGATCTGATTTGATGTGATGTGTTGTGATGTGTTGTGATGTGTGTTGTGATGTGTTGTGCTGTGATGTGTGTTGTGATGTGTTGTGATCTGATGTGTTGTGATTTGATGTGATGTGTTGTGATCTGATTTGATGTGTTGTGATGTGTGTGATGTGTTGTGATGTGTTGTGATGTGTGTGTTGTGATGTGTGTGTTATGATGTGTTGTGATCTGATGTGATTTGATGTGTTGTGATGTGATGTGATGTTGTGATGTGATGTGTCGTGATGTGATGTGATGTGATGTTGTTGTGTTGTGATGTGATGTGATCTGTTTTGATGTGTTGTGATGTGATCTGATGTGACGTGATCTGATTTGATGTGATGTGATGTGTGTGATGTGTTGTGCTGTGATGTGTGTGTTGTGATGTGTGTGTTGTGATGTGTGTGTTGTGATGTGTGTGTTGTGATGTGTGTGTTGTGATGTGTGTGTTGTGATGTGTGTGTTGTGATGTGTGTGTTGTGATGTGTGTGTTGTGATGTGTGTGTTGTGATGTGTGTGTTGTGATGTGTGTGTTGTGATGTGTGTGTTGTGATGTGATCTGATGTGACGTGATCTGATTTGATGTGATGTGTGTGATGTGTTGTGCTGTGATGTGTGTGTTGTGATGTGTGTTGTGATGTGTTATGTTGTGCTGTGATGTGTGTGTTGTGATGTGTGTGTTGTGTTGTGATGTGTGTGTTGTGATGTGATGTGATGTGTTGTGATGTGATGTGATCTGATGTGATTTGATGTGTTGTGATCTGATTTGATGTGTTGTGATGTGTGTGATGTGTTGTGATGTGTTGTGATGTGTGTGTTGTGATGTGATGTGATGTGATGTGTTGTGATGTGATGTGATCTGATGTGATTTGATGTGTTGTGATCTGATTTGATGTGTTGTGATGTGTGTGATGTGTTGTGATGTGTTGTGATGTGTGTGTTGTGATGTGATGTGATGTGATGTGTTGTGATGTGATGTGATCTGATGTGATTTGATGTGTTGTGATCTGATTTGATGTGTTGTGATGTGTGTGATGTGTTGTGATGTGTTGTGATGTGTGTGTTGTGATGTGATGTGATGTGATGTGTTGTGATGTGATGTGATCTGATGTGATTTGATGTGTTGTGATCTGATTTGATGTGTTGTGATGTGTGTGATGTGTTGTGATGTGTTGTGATGTGTGTGTTGTGATGTGATGTGATGTGATGTGTTGTGATGTGATGTGATCTGATGTGATTTGATGTGTTGTGATCTGATTTGATGTGTTGTGATGTGTGTGATGTGTTGTGATGTGTTGTGATGTGTGTGTTGTGATGTGATGTGATGTGATGTGTTGTGATGTGATGTGATCTGATGTGATTTGATGTGTTGTGATCTGATTTGATGTGTTGTGATGTGTGTGATGTGTTGTGATGTGTTGTAATGTGATGTGTGTGTGTGTTGTGATGTGTTGTGATGTGATGTGATCTGATGTGATTTGATGTGTTGTGATCTGATTTGATGTGATGTGTGTGATGTGTTGTGCTGTGATGTGTGTGTTGTGATGTGTGTGTTGTGTTGTGTGTGTTGTGATGTGATCTGATGTGATGTGATGTGATGTGATCTGATTTGATGTGATGTGTTGTGATCTGATTTGATGTGATGTGTTGTATTGTGATGTGTGTTGTGTTGTGATGTGTGTGTTGTGATGTGTGTTGTGTTGTGATGTGTGTGTTGTGATGTGTTGTGATGTGTGTGTTGTGATGTGATGTGTTGTGTTATGTTGTGATCTGATGTGATGTGTTGTGATTTGATGTGATGTGTTGTGATGTGTTGTGATGTGATGTGTTGGACTGACCGTGGGGAAATCCTCCAGCACCTGCCGGTCCTTCTCTCTGCTCTCGCTGAAGCTCCACTCCGGCTGATAGAGGAACGTATGGAAGTCCTGCAGCAACGGGACCTTCTTCTCCAGCGGGATGCTCATGTCGTCCTCCACTGTGTCCAGAGCTCGCAGAACCAGGTAGAAAATACACACCGCATGCCTGAGTGAGAGATTTAACACCCATGAAGATCTGCAGTGCATTTCTAAACAACACAGAGTGAACGAACAGCATCTATAATGAGCAGCTGATATAAATAAAACACAGCAGGTCCAGAAACATGCCGCACATGACTGAACGAATGCTTTACATGTTTTACTTTAATATTATCCTAAAAATATGAAGTGTGCCCAATTTTTAGAAAGATAAATGCAAAATAGCAGATTTATATCATTTATAAGTTAGAGTATAAATTGTTATAGAACTTATAGAAATCTTATATATATATCAGATTTCAATAACTTCTATTATATAAACTTAAAAACTATATATATCTGCAATTTTGCACATATATGTGTGTCTCTCTGTGTGTGTATACATCTATCCAATAGATAGGTATGCAAAATGGGTAGGTATGCAAGATTATTTTCTATTTCTGTTATAAAATATATTCCATTATGCATTATATATATGTATGTTTCTGAATATATATTTTATATGCACACACACATACATAGGCCTATGCAAAATTCCAGATAACTTACAGAAATTAGATTTCTTCTATATTTCTATATCTTCTATTAAACTACAGAAATTTGCTGTTTTGCACCTTTGTATGGCATATAATCTACCGCATACATACACACACACATATATATATATATATATATATATATATATATATATTCTTGCAAACAAGTAAAGCACACCTAAATGCGCCCAAAATGTGCATCTGCTTCTCTAACCCCCTGCTGCACAGCAGTTGTTCACCGGCGGAGGTCACGCCTCTCCCGCAGCGCTCCGCAGGTCTTACCGTAGCTCTCCGTCCAGGGCCTGGATCACCGCCGCGAAGCTCCGGCTGGTCTGGTTCAGATACGCGTAGCAGGTCCGCAGGGTTTCGCTCATGGAGTCCTGGCAGGAGAAGCACACATAAGCGGGGTGTCGGTGAGTCCGGAGCGGGTGAGGAGCACGGGTCACCAGCCGCCTTTCCTGCGCGCTGCGCCGCCCGCCGGAGAGCACCGAGCGCAGCGACAACGAGCGCTTGATCACGGAGAACGACGCGGCGCTCTTACCGCCGACCACAGCCATGAGCGAACGAGCTCCTGCAGCTCCTGCTTCTGTTTACAAGCAGTGCAAAACTTTTAAACTGTATTTAAACTCTCTGTAAAGTCATTCGCCAGAGGGGAAGTGAAACCGAGCGTCAGAGGGGCGCGTTTTTAGCCACGACTGACATAGCCTATCGGTAATCTGATATGTAAACAGAGCGTTTCACCTCATATTGAGTTTTTTTTTTAAATTGGCTGGGGTTTGAGTCTCCTCCCCGCTTTTATCGATAAAACACACGCATGTTTTCAGACCGACCCGACTGCAAAATACCGCAGCAGTTTGCCAAGTACGCACTATAGTCGAGTCAAGTATGAACACACCCACTCAAACTTTTTTCTACATTTTAAAATAAAGGCAAAGTAATCATGTGTATGGGACATATGTGGTGACCGAAACATAAAAATAAAATCAAAAAAAAAAAAAAAAGAATTAAATTAATATGGACCACCAAATGAGTAAGATCATGTGACACTGAAGACTGGAGTAATGATGATGAAAATACAGCTTTGATCACAGAAATAAATTATATTTTAAAGTATATTAAAATAGAAAACCATTATTTTAAATGGTAATAATATTTCACAATATTACTGTGTTTTTCTGTATTTCTGATCAAATAAATGCAGCCTTGATGAGCAGAAGAGACTGCTTTAAAAAAACATTACAAATCTTACTGATCCCAAACTTTTGAACAGCAGTGTATATATGCATGCAAAATGACTTCTATAATTCAAGTTACATGGTATAACTTATAAACTACAGAAATCTGCTCTTTTGCATATATATGTGTGTGTATACATATACAAATATAGATGTGCAAAATAGCAGATTTATATATTTTGTTATAGAATATATTGTATTATGCATTGTGTGTGTGTGTCTTATCTATATATACTTCTTAAGAAAGCACATGTTCCTCAAGGTTATTTATATGCAACCACAAATCTTGCAAACAAGTAAAGCACACCTAAATGCGCCCAAAATGTGCATCTGCTTCTCTAACCCCCTGCTGCACAGCAGTTGTTCACCGGCGGAGGTCACGCCTCTCCCGCAGCGCTCCGCAGGTCTTACCGTAGCTCTCCGTCCAGGGCCTGGATCACCGCCGCGAAGCTCCGGCTGGTCTGGTTCAGATACGCGTAGCAGGTCCGCAGGGTTTCGCTCATGGAGTCCTGGCAGGAGAAGCACACATAAGCGGGGTGTCGGTGAGTCCGGAGCGGGTGAGGAGCACGGGTCACCAGCCGCCTTTCCTGCGCGCTGCGCCGCCCGCCGGAGAGCACCGAGCGCAGCGACAACGAGCGCTTGATCACGGAGAACGACGCGGCGCTCTTACCGCCGACCACAGCCATGAGCGAACGAGCTCCTGCAGCTCCTGCTTCTGTTTACAAGCAGTGCAACACTTTTAAACTGTATTTAAACTCTCTGTAAAGTCATTCGCCAGAGGGGAAGTGAAACCGAGCGTCAGAGGGGCGCGTTTTTAGCCACGACTGACATAGCCTATCGGTAATCTGATATGTAAACAGAGCGTTTCACCTCATATTGAGTTTTTTTTTTAAATTGGCTGGGGTTTGAGTCTCCTCCCCGCTTTTATCGATAAAACACACGCATGTTTTCAGACCGACCCGACCGCAAAATACCGCAGCAGTTTGCCAAGTACGCACTATAGTCGAGTCAAGTATGAACACACCCACTCAAACTTTTTTCTACATTTTAAAATAAAGGCAAAGTAATCATGTGTATGGGACATATGTGGTGACCGAAACATAAAAATAAAATCAAATAAAAAAAAAAAAGATTAAAACTCATATGGACCACCAAATGAGTCATAAGGATAATTTTTTTAAAAGTGAGATTTATGGATCATCTGAAAGCTTAATAAATAAGCTTTCCATTGATGTATGGTTTGTTAGGATAGGACAATATTTGGCTGAGATACAACTATTTGAAAATCTGGAATCTGAGGGTGCAAAAAAATCTAAATATTGAGAAAATCATCTTTAAAGTTGTTCAAATGAAGTTCTTAGCAATGCATATTACTAATCAAAAATGAAGTTTTGATATATTTACAGTAGGAAACTTACAAAATATCTTCATGGAACATGAGCTTTACTTAATATCCTAATGATTTTTAGCATGAAAGAAAAATTGACAATTTTGACCCATACAGTGTATTGTTGGCTGTTGCTACAAATATACCTGTGCTACTTAAGACTGCTTTTGTGCTCCAGGGTCACATATGTGTCACTACGGAGTTCAGAAGAAAAACAGCCATCATACACAGACCTCTATGGCCTGTTTCCACCTCAAAGTAAAAATGTAACCGTGAGATAAAGTTTAAATTGAGATATAAAGCCACTTTGTGAGATGTAAGTCACTGTTATAAAAAATAAAGTGGCAGTTGCGAGATATGTCATGATTGTGTTATATAAAGTCAGTGCGATTCATAGATACATACATGAGAAATCTGAGTTATAAAGTCACGTTGTGAAACGTTATACTGCAATTGGGACATATCAATAGATACAAAGTAGCAATTTCAAGAAATAAAATCTAAAAGAGACACGTGACTTCTGATGATAAATTTGACACTCAGATCATATACAATACACTACTGTTCAAATATTTGGGTTCAGTATTTATTTATTTATTTGTTTGAAAGAAATTAATACTTTTATTTATCAAGGACGCATTAAATTGATCAAAAGTGTCAGTAAAGACATGTATAATGTTATAACA